CAGAAAGAATCAAAGTAAATAAAAGCGTGTCGCTTTCACAATAAGAAAATCACTGTGCCCTTCACTACGACTGAATGACATACTGCTGACATAATACTTCACTTGACTCTCCATTCATAAAATACCGTGGAATTTACACACTTGCCTGAAAGGACAAGACAAAAAAAGGTTTTACAAAATTGTTCAGAGACTACTCGACCTACTATCCTACCTATATATTCCACAACAAATTTACCCTCTACAACATTATAACCAATATCTATTGAAAAAACGTAAAGAAAGTTCTTAAAGTCCCATTGTATGTCTTCAATAAAACCACTACATTAACCTTCAAAATCCATCTGTTTACGCCTTATGAGGACTCATTATAAGAAATTCTACAATATACTTTCCGCACATCCAAACACTCGCGTTCTAAAATTTTTCTCACTAACCCTCCTGTGTGGCTAAAGAGGCAGACAATGGCCTTGGGATTAGCTTAATTGATATACGTGTGTGTACAATGTGTGAGTGGGTGTTATCAGTTGGTGCCACCAGCTTCTTCAGTCAGGTTTCTCAAGTGGAATTCATATTAATTACTGTTCCATATTTCCAGATTTACTTATTACTCTCAGAGTTGAAAGTGTAAAGATAAAATAAACATTATATTTGTAACATATGCAGGTCAAAACAACTATTTTAAACTAAAAGAAGACAAAAACAACATTCTCAATATCTCGTTTCTTTATTCTTATCTCTCTCTTTTATTAAATATCGCCAAAGTATTGGACAATTTGGCTCTTATTTATGAGAATTATTTAGAAACTGTTTACATTGAATCAACTATGTTGATAGGTAGGATCTTGGACTCGTCTAGTAAAAGTAGTTCACAGAGATTAAATTTTCGATAAGAAATATTTTATATTTTGCCTCCTTAAATATAAATCTGGCTTGGGAAATTTTAAATTAAAACAAATTAAATTACCTGGAAGTTATTATTTAGCTGAAACGAAAACGACAATCCTTGTAAATAATATTAATGAAAATCCACGGATAATTATTTAAAATATATTGAGATATTTTAGGCCTTTGGTTTCTCAACTATTTTTGTACTATTTATCAAAAATATAACAATTATTTTCTGTCTACGTACAGTTACAGATATCTTTTCAATATGTGAATTGGTGTTTGCACCATTGCCCTAATCAAATTAAATTTAAAAGACAAATATTTTAAACGGACGAGAACCTCTTATGCTTTATTCTCTTTTTCAAGGATATCTACTATACATATATTATATAGTTGAAAATAATAAAATAATTCATTTCGGTACTTCTCGATTTGTTTTATCCAATACTAACACCACATGTTTCTTGGAGGTTGACTTGACCCCCTTCCAATTGAAACTTGAAATGCTTAGAATATCGTCGGAGAGAACGTATCTAATTAGACGTGAGTTGAATTAAGATTAAGTGACCTGTCCCCGGACAAGGGAGTACGACTGTACGGTATTCACAAGGCGTACAGATTTCTATCTGGTGGCCAATTTGCGCTGAAATTGTTTACGGGATCCTCACCGCCGCCCCCGCACAAACGCCAATAAATAACCCGCGGCGGGCGATCCTTAAGGGGAAAAAGGAGAACGGAATAAAATAGAGAAGACTGGACAAAAAAAAGATACTTCGGCGACTCAGGGCACAAAGGACCCTGCTGGGCATCCCACCGTACCCGACCGTATTAATACCGTATTAGCATCCCTAGACCACCTCCATGGCTACTCCCGTTTGTAATAGATATGGAATGTGACAACTAGTTATTATGTTTCATCTTCGGACCATTTCTCAGTACACAAACATTTTTCAACTGGTGAGCCAAAAACGACTTACAGGAAAAACCATGTGGAATTATTGAGAAAATCATTAACCAACTGAACACAAATTTTTCCTAATATTGGAGGGTATCCAAATTAGTTTACTGTGATTAGGTAAATACGGTAAGAGAGAGAGAGAGAGAGAGAGAGAGAGAGAGAGAGAGAGAGAGAGAGAGAGAGAGAGAGAGAGAGAGAGAGAGAGAGAGAGAGAGGGAGAGAAAAGAAAGAAATATGTTTGCGGGAGCTTGAAGAAAGTGAACCAAGATGGAGGGAAAAAAGAAAGAGGGACTTGATGTGACTTGTTCGTTATTTGTAGGTGATTTTTTTTTACATAACGTACCCAGTGTTTTGTCGACTTACCTTACGGTATGTATTTAATTATATAAATCTATATTCTATAAATCTATATAATATTTTTACAGTCTAGCTAAACTCCATGGTATTAATTATATTAATAGTTTTTCAGAGTTCATGAGAAGCGGTCTGGTGTAACGTAGGTTTTAGAAAAACATTATCTTTATCGTGCCGACGTTTCGATCTTTATCTTCAGGCACTCTCAACACGACAAACAAGAATGGTACATCTACACGGAAACATAAACACTTTGAGCCCTGAATATAATCTCAATAAAGATTGAAACGTTGGCATGTTTTTCTAAAACCTATGTCACATCAGACCGCATCTCACGATCTCAGAATAATTATTGACTAACGGTCACTAAACACCACACACATACATATTAATAGTACTACTTAAATATATAAACTGCTCAAAAACGAATAGGGATATTGCCAATTCTGTAGTATTTACTTTACCTAACTTTTTTATTTTATTTTTATTATAAATTTCATAAAAATGTATTAGAAATTATTACGTTTTTGTCTGAAAGAAAATTTCATTAAGGGATTTTAAAAAATAACAAAATAAAAGGTTTTAATTCCATAATTTTTTTTATTGGATACAATAATCTTTTTAAACAATTAATACTGTTAGGCATACTATTAATAAAGATCTTATTAATTTCATAAGGAATTTTACTCCATTGATGTTGCAACGCTGCACTCCGTTTTGCAAGTCAACGGGATAGTGATCGAAAAGTGTTATCTGTCACGCATCCCACATGTGCTCAATGGACTTGAGGTCTGGAGACAATGGGGGAAGGGGTAGGAAATTCCCAGGTTTTCTAAACACTAAACTCTGCCTGTATGAGGGCTGGTATTGTCATCCAGCAATCGAAAATTTCTACCAATGAGATCCCTGGTTTAGGGGTCGATAATTTCTTGGACATACTGGACTGCGGTGAGGTCATTTCGTCTTCCAGTGTAAATCGCAACCTAGACGCCTTCTGCAAACTGCACTGAAGGGAGTACGAACTGGGGCAAATAACGCAGCCCTTGGCGGTATGTTCTCGGTAGACTCTTCGGCGCGTGTTATCACTGTACAGGCAGAAACGCGACATCCTAATCATAACAACATTCATATTGGTGTTCTTTCTAGGCGCTCGTTGCACTATATTCTCCAGAGATCCCACAATCGATTACGGAACGTTTGTGTTGGTAAGGCCTTGCCAAAACATCTTGTATTACATTTAGGTTCTGCGGGCACTATGGAAAGGGTTCCTTCTTGTAGCAAGCAATGACAATATTTCTGTTCTCCTTTAGCTTCGTAATGCGCTGAGATCCACTACCAGGCGTCCTATTGGCATATTTCAGTCTTTCGGAATCGGGCTAAAAACCGGGAGACTATGCTATGAGAAAGCTGCCTCTGCGATATCCACTTGCCGGTGACCTAGATGACTCATCCTCACAATTATATTGCGAACTCTGGTTCAAGATGATGTCTTTCTATTGTTAAAGAGAATATAACTGGATTAAAATGGAGAAAAGGTATCTGTTTACAAAATGAGGAATCTTCATGCTTACTATTCTCAAGTAAATCTGTTTTTAAAAATTTAACAATTTTTATTTTAAGGATTAACAATTTTTTTGTATTTGTTTTCTATTTTGTTTCAACCAACTAACAAGAATATGTCGGTTAATTTAATCAATATTAATAGAATATGAATAAATTGTAAATATCTCTATTCATTTTTGATCAGTTTATCTTATATATATTTTATATTATGTATTTTTGCAATAATTTTACATATATTTTAAGAATTTACAATTTACTCAATAACAAAATTATGCAATTTTAAAGAATATAAATCCATAAAGTTCAATAATGCAACGAATAAGACAATACAGTGTGAATAAAGAAATGAATAGGTACATAAATAATTAGTACATTTTTAGTGCATAAAATGCGTCTTAATGCTACACCTCGTATTCTCATATTCTGTAGGAAGTTATGTAACGAGTAGTCAATAATTTTTCTTCTTCTGATGCTTTCTATTGACAATTCCTGTTCTCTATTTGTCTGATCAAGTGGACTGTATGGGTTTAAAATTAAACTAAAATAAAATGAATTATCAAATAAAANATAAAATAACAAGGGAAAAAAACACTCACCTCCGGTGATGATGGTCCAGCTACCTCAATTGAGGTAAAGGGGGATGCTAGGAGGAAAATGGTCGGAAAAGACAGGAAAAGTCGGGACGGGGGACCTTCACCACGCAGATATCTCAGGAACCTCACCAACCGGAGCGATGACGACGATAAATTCATAAAATGAAGACAATAAACGAAATAAAATAAACTTTAAGCTGGAACGATATAATATATACGACTTATATAAAATTACAATTGCTCAAGAAGACGACACGACGAATTCAAGCCTCGATCTGGCCGACGACGAGGCCGGAAACATAGCGGGGGGTTTTCCGAAATCTTATCCCGAGTAATCTTTACGGCGTAAACATCCCCCCCGACATGAAGTCCCTAGGGGCTTCATCTAAGTCCCGACCAAATTCCAAGCCCAGTCCTTCGATATACCTAAACCGCAACCTGTATGAATAAAACCATCACCTTATAAACAAAACCACCACCTTATAAACAAAACCACCACCTGTATGAGGAAAATGGAAGAATTATTGGATGGGCGTACGACCAACTCAACCCGGCATGTTTCAACCTCCCCCCAACTCTTAAAATCCCTTCATCTAAAAATGTGGCTATACGCTGAAGATTTCGTGAACAACAACTTTGTTTCTTCAGGCGTTCGATTTCGGATGAGAAATCTGGCTTTGAATAATTTTACAAAGCGTCAGTTCGGCTTTGTCGCAATCTGAGGCCGTAATCAGGATTTGTTTTGGAAGTACTTGCACGAAAAGCAATAAGTAGATCATGCTATTTAATAATTTTTGAAATGACGAGAACCTTTGGATAAATTGAATAAAAATGTTTTCCGGTTGCACTTGTGTCTGTAGTGCAAGCTTCTTTTTTTGTTCATGACAATCTTCTTCTTTAAACGACAACGGGGTGGTGGGCCATTGCGACTCATTCTTTAATAACCAATCGGGTCCGTGAAACCAATAGGGATGATTGGACAATTCTTGAGGAGTTAAACCTCGCGAAAGACAGTCGGCGGGGTTTTCCGCGCCCTTTATGTGAGCCCACTTTTCGGCCCTCAAGTTAGACTGAATTTTCGCTACTCGATTGGCGACGAATGTGTTCCATCGGTTGGGCTCCGAATTAAGCCAACAGAGAACAACTGTCGAATCAGAAAACGCAAATATTTCAGGTTTTAGATTCCTTTTTGTGAACGTTTCAACGACGACTAAGAACAATTTGGACAAAAGCAAGGCGGCACACAATTCCAGTCGAGGTATGGATATAACCTTGGTTGGGGCAACTTTGGCCTTTCCACACACAAACGAAACATACGGTTTATCGGCTTCACCTTTCAAATAAATTACTGCACCGTATCCGTTTTCGGAGACATCACAAAACCCATATAAGTTCAACCTAGTATTTTCTCGGATGCCTAGAAAACGTGGTATTCGGACCTCAGTTAGTTGGGCAAACTCTGCCAGCACACGTTTCCACTTCAAGGTTACTTCGGGGGATGGGGGGTGGTCCCAGTCAGCTCCCTCTTGCCATAATTGTTTAATTAACCCCTTCAAATACAAGGTAACAGGGGATAAAAACCCTAAAGGATCAAATATTCGAGCGACCGTGGAAAGTATATTTCGCTTTGTACTAGACCGAGGCTCCAACTCCACCCTAAAATCGAACAGGTCACCATCAGGAAGCCATCTCAATCCCAATACAGAACAGGAGTCAAATTCGACTCGGGATATGACAACATCACCCTTTTCCAAACTATCTAAGAGAAGGGAAGAGTTGCTGGACCATTTCCGCAACTCAAAACCCCCTGCAGCAAACAAATCCTTAGCTTGTCTATATAGTGTTTTCGCTTCCTGGAGAGAACTCACGGACGTCAACAGATCGCCCATATACATGTCTCGTGGGATAACTTTTGCTGCTAATGGGAAACGTTTACCCTCCTCATCAACTAACTGCTGGATGGTACGCAAGGCTAAATATGGGGAAGATGAAATACCAAATACGACCGTATTTAATTCAAACATAGACAACGGGTGCTCACGATCAAAACGCCACAATATGCGTTGATAAAGACGATGTCGCTCGGTAACCAAAATTTGCCGATACATTTGTCGGACATCCGCAGTCAGGGCATAAGCAAATATTCGGAAATTCATGAGTAATGATACTAGATTGGCTTGTAATTTAGGCCCGACAAACAAAACATCATTCAGCGATTTTCCAGAACTCGTTTTGGCACTGGCGTCAAACACCACGCGCACAGGTGTACTAGTGCTCTGAGGTTTGAACACTGCATGGTGCGGAATAAAATATCCAGTTCTATCGTGTTCTCCCTGAACGGGCGACATATGACCTTGCTGTAAATGATCATAAAACACGTCGTGGTACACTTTCTTTAAGTCGGGAGAGCGAGCCAGCCGTGCCTCTCAGTTCAGGAATCGTTTACAAGCTAATTCATAGGAATTCCAAAGGATCTCCGCGTCTTCACGAAAGGGTAAAGCGACTGAAAAACGACCTCCTTCGGTCCGCTGGACCGTGTTCAAAAATGCCTTTCGCACTCGGCGTCCTGCTTAGTGATCATAGGACGGACGGGTTCGGAACTTCTTCTATTTCCCAAAACCGTTCCAAAACCTGTATCTCGGGACTCGACAATTTGGCTAAAAGGGTATGCCTTTGTACTCTTGACTTTCCCACTAACGGAGCCTTTCCCATGACCACAAAACCTAATCGAGTGTGCACAGCGACAGGTGCGTCTGGACCATCCATGATCTTGGTCACGCTCACAAGATGAGGGAATAGCTCCGATCCAATAATACCATCGACTGGACCTGGAATATGAAAACTCTCATCCGCTAGGTCAAGTCTACGGAGGAATGAGAACTTAGCGACATCCACTACAGCACAAGGCATCTCGTCCACAATCTGATCTACGACCAAAGTTTTGATCGTGAACGAGATGTTTCGGTCGAATCGTGACGAAAAGGTTAATTTAGTCTCACCACCAACTGACTTGGACGTTCCTCCAAAACCAACAACTGAACGTCTCCCCGTCTCAATTGGTAGATTCAATCGGGCACAAGCTGATCTTGTCAGAAAATGCGACTGACTTCCCGAATCCAATAACAATCGAATATCTTGTCTGTTTCCCGTGCCATCGTAACTTCTAACGACCACTGTCGACAAAAGGACTGTTGAGCTATCATCCACATGGAACCCGTCCGAGTTTGCTAATGAACAGAGATTCACTTGATTTTCCTCAGAACAAGAATCTGAACGTTTCTTGTCTTTCGAAGCTGGAAAATGTAATAACGAATGGTGTGAAAGTTTGCACTTGTTGCATGATATTCGACTATCACAATCACGCGCTTGATGGTCTGGGGAAAAACAACGAAGACATAAAAATTTATTTTTTATTGAAATCTGAAAGCCAGGTAAGCGTTGAGCAATCTGTTCTCAAAAAAAATTTGGCATGTTTCAAATATGGTGAAAAATGATTTATTGAACTTATAATAGCCATCAATTCCTTTTCACATGTATTATAATTTAGTTGGGCTTTTTGTAATTTAGTAGAGAAATAAGCAATTGGCAATAAAATCCCGTCATAATTTTGTGCCAAGACAGATCCGATTCCCACATGACTGCATCGGTAGTCAAATAAAAGGGTTTCTCGAAATTCGGAATTTGCAAAATAGGTGCTGAAGCTATTAATGCTTTTGCCTCTTCGAATGCCTTTTGATCTATGTCAGACCAAATTAATTTTGCGCCCTTTTTCTTTAAGTTAGTAAGAGGAGTGAGCACTTTCGATAAATTCGGCAGAAATTTTGCGTAATAATTAATTGCACCAACAAAACTCGCTACCTTTTTCAATGTGTTAGGAGCAGGCATTTTCAAAACATCTTGAATTCTTTCCGGATTGATTTCCACTGAATTTTATGAAATTATATGTCCTAAGAATTTAATGGATTTCTGAGCCAATTGTATTTTTTCTGGATTCACTGTGATATTTGCTTTTCTAAACCTTTGAAACACTATATGTAAATGCTTGACATGATCTTGTAAAGAACCTTTCGTGTAAATTAGAATGTCATCAACGAAATTCCAAATAAATTTATATTTTTCCTTTGCAAATAACCTGTCAATTAGCATCGATAAATATCCCGAACCTGCCCTTATTCCAAAAGGTAGACACTTATATTTGCATTTGCCGAATGGAACAATAAATGAAGTTAATTCGGAACTTTCTTCCGTTAGTTCTATTTGATGAAATGATTGATTTAGGTCTATGACTGTGAAGTAATTTGCGCCCCTCAAATGATCCACAATAGAATTTAAGGTCGGGAGAGGATATTCCACAAACTTTATTATCTTATTTATTTTTCTATAATCACAGATCAGACGAAACTCATTTTTGCCAGATTTGGGAACTAAAAATGCAGGGTTCGAATAAGGTGAGTAGGATGGAACAATAATATCTTCTTTTAATAATTCTTCTATGATTTTTTTACGTTCTTTTGACTGTAACGGATTTAATGAGTAAGGTCGCGAATTTACTATTTCCTGAGAGTTTTTTTTCCAAGTGAACGTTCATTAAATTTGTCCTACCTAATTTTTTGTTAAGGTTTCAGGGTACATTTGAGTAAAATGGTCTAAAAGAGCATTGTTTCTTTTCATTGCGGATCGAATTTATTGTTTGAATAACTGAACCTTTTGGTTATATAAAATTAATAAAATCATAAGGGTTAAATGAGAAAAAACATCCATTGTTTGCTGGTCCCCACACAAGACCTACCTTCTTACAAAATTGATAAGATGATACAATCTACGGGTAACTTTTTTTAACACAAAATTTTTTTTATTCCAATTATACTTATTTATTTGAAGTTTTAATTCTACAATAGCAAATGGTTTAATTCGGCTTGAATCAGCTGATAATATTGTCTCCTTAACATCAGTATAGATTTTGTCCAGCTTAAGATTAGGCAATATCTGTTTATACAAATTCCATGATATAGAATCAACTGAAGCCCCTGTGTCTATCAGAGCTTGGGTTTTGATATTATTAACAAATACCTTTAATACACCCATTTGATTCTCATCATTAAACGCTTCAATTGTCATTGCTGTTAACCTTTTTGTATTATTTATATTAGCAGCAAAATCCTTGGATTTCCCTTCTACGGGTGAGATTTTATCAATTTTATTTATTAATTGTAGTCTTATCGTTAGAGTAGCCTTGTCGTTTTTAGAAATGTTGTGTATAATTATTCGTCGGGATTCTAGTTTTTTTCTGAACAGACGTCCCAACTTTGAGTCTAGTTTTTTGACTGTTCTTCGGCTTTCTCATCTCTAATGGCATATCCGATATAATTTACATCATGTGAGTTTGGGAAGTATGGATAAAAAAAAAGGATTAAATCCCATTAATCCATAGTGTGGAACAACCTGGGAAAATTTCTTATTCTTGTACCTGTTATAATGGTCCTGGGAATTCCTTTTATTATTTTGATTGCTAATAGGTTTCAGTGCAACTGGATTTGGAGCATAATACATGGGAATTGGAGGTTGATAATATGTCGGGAAGTTTTGATTAACATGGCTTTGATTATTAAATGGAAAGAATGTATAATTATTGTTGTAATTATGTGGGAATTTGCAATTAGGATCATACTTTTTTCTATAATTCGGTGTAATATGGGGATTTCTATCTGGGAAATAACTTTGACCATTCCTCACAAAGTTTGATCAACGGAAAAATCCGCGGTTATCCTTTTTGTTTTGCCTAAAATAATTGCGTTCTTTACTCCGATCATCACGATTATCTTCATTATATTTCTTTCTAGAATACCCTTCTTCTCCCTTAGAACTAATCTTTTCGCGGCCAGAATTATGATATTCGAAACTTGATTTTTTTTTTAAATTTGGGATTACCTTGTGATCTCTCCTTTCTTCGTCAGACATGTCATTATTCATGTTCCTATTTGCCATAATCATCTCATTATATTCTACTTGCTTCCAGAGTTCCGCTAGTGTTGAAAAATTTAGTTTTGAGCCCAAAAGTGATAAAAATTTTGGATGTAAACTTTCGGTTATATTTTGTACCAATTCTGTTTCCATAATATCCCCTAAAATACTGGCATATATTATTTCCTTATTAATAAAATTTCTCAATGAATCATTTTCCGACTGATGCCTCATCAAATATTTGGTTTTTAATATTTGCCGTTGTCTATCAGTCGTCTGATGTTTCAGTAGGCTGTTTTTGAACAATTCAAAATTTATGCCGGTATAAATTGCTGCATTAGCCAATATATTTTTCCGCAATTCCACCCTGTCTATTCACCAGACTTTGCAGGATATTACTAAAATCTTGTTTATAGCGGTCCGCTATGGGATATAAGTCAACGATAAAATTGAAGATTGTTTCCGAATCGTATGGGTTAAATTTTCTTATATTTTAGAGCAATTTTCCAATGATAGAGGAATTTCGTTATTTTTAAACTTGGAATTCCACTGTGTATTCGTCATTGGTTTTAAAAACTTATTTGTCGCAAAGTTCAAACTGGAAGATGAGAAATACATTGAATCTTCACGTTCTGGGTAATTACCCTCGGATTCCATAATGTCCTCGTCTTCCGATTTTGCTTTTTTTGCTTCTCCACGGGCTAAAAAGCACAGCTTCTCTTGCCTTTGGTTAAGGATTTTTTTTGACCCGCGTTTTAAACGGGTCGATATCATTGATTCATACTTTTTTACTAATTCTCCCACATGAGACCTTAATTGTGCCCTAATCTTCCGGGGAGAATTTAGCAAGACTTCAGACATTGAGTCCCTAATTAAGGTCAAATAAAAGAATTTTTCGATAGCTCCAAGGCTTTTGCCAGGGTTTGTGTGATCC